AAGCAGACTTAGGACTGGGATCGCTGTGTATCCTGGAGTGGGCACAAAGTTGAGGTTACACAAATTTCCACTTGTGAACTCCTGACTCCTCCAGCAGGCACTGTTCCCCCACCTCGATTCTGTCTCACCTGCCTGGAACAACAAGTTTGGTGCACACAAACATTAGCGGTGCAGCAAAATCCAAACCAGTGCCTCTTGCTGACTGCCTTTATGTGGGGTTCAGAACCTTTTCATAATTCAGTTCTGTGTAGAAGAAACCAGAGCTGCTTCAGGGTTCTTGGGAACTTATCACTCCATGGGTAGTAACAAACAAGTGCCACCCAGGTCCCTCCTCTAACCATGAATGATAAAATAAATAAATAGAAATCCAGAATTGTATTTTCAGGGCTGGGTTACAACTTAACAGAATACAGTGGGCAATCATTTATTTTCCCCATCTCTTTGCTTGATCTACCCATACATCTCACTGTAGGTTATTATAAATATAATGAGGATCTATGGGGAAATATAAGCTCGGAGTTCTAGACAGTTTTATTAGTGTTCATAAATATTTATGTTCCAGATATAATCATATTATTAAAGTCCTGTACACTCTCACACATAAAATTCATGAGACTATTTATTTTCATCCATATTGCCATGTCTCCACCCTAGGCAGTAAGACAAATTAGAGCTGATAAAAATAAGAACCTGTCAGGAGGTTGGGCACTTGCTCCAAACAGACTTTGTTTCAGGCAGAACCATAATGCTCAGGGTCAGCCTGACTCACTGGTGGCTCACGGTGCCCTGATATCTTCCACTCTTCATTTTCTGTCTCCAAGTGGCCATTGAAAGATAAAAATGGATGATATCACAGTTAAAAAATTGTTTTTTAGGGGGTCACTTTAACTGAGGATGGGTGAGGGAGCGCAATTCTGAGGGACAGGAATGAAGGAGGGATAAAGAACACTGAGGATGATTGGAAAAGTCTTATGGACATATTCTATTTTTACTTAAAAATACATACAAAATGTATGTATAAGTATCTGTGTATACATACATAAATGACTTAAATCAAGTTGTGCTACTTGAGTGATAATGATATCCCCAAGGGCTGCAGTCTATCTAATCAAAAACCCAAGTACCTGGCATGGGAAGCCTTTTGGGTTGTTGGTCAGGGGAATCCCAAGACATTCCCACAACAATATAGACAATTGCTATTGATCTTGGTGGTATCCCAAAACTTGAAGGTAAGACCCATCACATATTTCGGACACAAGACTTGGAGGAATTGACCTGGAACCGACCTGGAACCGACCTGGAAGCCTTTCCTCTGAGGACTATCTCTCATAAAATCCCAAATGTGCTATGCAAACTGATGGTGATAAATGTAACCAATGGCCTTACCCAACTGTAAGGCATGTGAACCACAACAATGACCAGCCAAGCAAGATGTCCCCAAAGGAGGAGTGGTGGCGCTTATATTTTGTGATTAACCAATCTTCTAATTGGGCTTAAGGCCCATTCAATAGAAGAGAATCCATGCCTGGTACTGTAAACCTAGCCAACTACCAGTTAGCTGGTAAGATTGTGGACTCAAGAAGAGAGCCTACTAATGTTATGCCTCTAAACTAGTATAATTTCTAATTACATTCTAAATACTTATCTTCATAACCACAGATAACTGTACTTTTCAACCCTTTCAATTACCAAAAAATCTTCTTTTTGCAGCAGCAGGAGACCATCAGAGTGAATCGCAATTAGTCAACAATACAAGGAACAATGACCGTGGAGTGCCCATCCCTGGTTGATATACAATACAGTCTCTACACCTAAGGCTCCAGGTATATCACGAGGTCGGGTGGGGGGGGGGGAGGAAGTTTGTAAGAGCCAGAGGTCCAGGGCATCTGCTGCTGGGAGATTGTGTCTCCTGTCTATGATGAACACATGAACTCTCACCCATGTATGATTGCCTGAACGAGGCCCGCACACTGACATCAGTTCACATGTCAACATAGATGGGGGACATCTCCCAAGTCCCCACCCTAGATGAAGAATCCCAGGCAGCTATTGACTGCTGGGAGAGGGGGAATCTGTTTTCTCCCAGGGTGAGCCCCTTGATCATATGGGCATACAGATATGGGCAACAGTAAATGGACTCAGTAGGTTGTCTCTCTTTCTGTGAGTGTGTGTGGTGGTGGGGGGTAGGTATGTATAACAAAGAACAATTGAGAAGTCATGAATTTGAAAAGGGGGAAACACAGGAGACCTGGGAGTGAGGAAGAAATGATGTAAATTCAGGACTCACAGATGAAATGATCAGAAAAGAAAGAAATACCTGAAAGAAACAAGAGAGGTGACCTTCTTGTGCCCAGCACATAATCACAGCCTCCCCAAACTCAGGTAGAAATGCCAGCTCTCTCCCTTTGGTTCTCCACTCCACTTTGATATTAATGTGAGTCATCAGCAAACTAATACACAAAGCAGATGTGGGAAAAAGAACTAGAGGTCAACTCACTGAGAGCACATATTTCTACTTCATGAAATGGGCTTTGTAAATCCCATAGGAAGTTTCTAGAAGGGAAGGCTAGAATTCTTCTCTGCCTCTGGTGAAGGCTAGTGAACCTCACAGCAATATGGTGTCACTGGAATGCTAATTTGTACTGGAAAGCATCTTTAAAAATGTAGATACAAAGAGCCAACACTGTCCTAACAGAATAGTGACCACAAGACCGCGAAGCTCTCTCTGCATGTGTCCAGGTGACCCTGGTGGACAAGCCAGGGCGCGTGCATCGATTGATGGCTTTAAAGGCAGAATTGTGGAAGGCCGGAAGAGTAGTTTTCTGAGTTTTGTCCTACCAAGGCTAACAGAATGACAGTGGGGCTGCCGGAAGTCAGAAAGTCATGTTTTAAGACGTCTCCCTCCGTGTCCAGGTAATTGAACCAAACCCGGAGCAGGCTGACTGTCACTTGAGAATTATGACATAGTTCTGGCAGGGCAATGGCTTGATCCCACTTCCAACTACCAGCGAGGTCCAATTTCCTTGGCACTGCACATTAAGGGAAGCACAAGGTTAGCTGTGAGCCCAAGAATCCCTGAGCTTGCCGAAATAGATGCTTTCGGGAAAGTCAGTTCTCCCGAGAATGGTAAAATGCTGGCCTCAGTACTCTTAGGTAAAAGAGGAAGGCGACATCTGATGTTTGGTGTGACTTCATGGGTATAGTCTCTCTTCTAGGGTGGCTCATAGATCTGTTCCATTTGTCCCTTAGCTTCATACGCACACAGTCCTCCCTGCCTATGCCTGGGCTGCTTCTTGGGGCTGAAATAAAGACTTGTTTCCATAGGAAATTTATTTCCCTTTTGATTGTTTGAGAAATTCACAAATGCATATAAATATGGTTTGATTCAATCCACCCCCTCCTCTCCCATCCATCCCCACACCGCCACTTTTCTCTCCCAACTTCGTGTGATTTGTTTTTAACCTGCCAAGTCCACTTAGTACTGTCTGTCTGTGCATGGATTGAGGCCATCTTCTAGAACATGGGTAGCCTCTCATGTTCTTTTGAATGCCTGAAGGAAAATGACTCCCATTCTCCAGCCGTCATCAATTGTCAATAGCACCACAGCTAATAGCGGCGGGTGGTTAATGCCACATCCCACCTCCATGCTGGGATTGTTTTTTTCTGGTATGATCTTGTGTGGGTCTTACACTTGCTGTCACAAATGTTATGAGTGCATGCGTGCAATGGCTCCTTTCTGCACAGAAAACACTGGTCGCTGTGGTCATCCACCACCTCTGGCTTTTCCCTCATCCTTTAAGGCTGGGTGGATTGGCTCAGTAAGATTCAGCAATCTAATTTGTGAAGCTCATCCAAGTCATCGTCTACGGGGACTCCTATGGTAGTGGCTCCCGAGCCAGCCTTCCTTACCTCACAACATAACAGGAAGGGGAGCCAGAGACAGAAGTTGAGGCTCGGTTTGTGACCTCTGCCTTTGGGTTTCCAGCTTCTTGTTTGCAAGCCAGAGTGGTGAGTTTCTACCGTGAGCATGTTGAAGTGCTAAACAAATATTTGATACATGTCCAGAACTTTGTAAATGCAATGTATTGTCAGTAGCCCCCAGAGCTGTGGCAGAAAGAGGGGATTCCTAAGCATCGCTGGGGGCAGGGGGTGGGTGGGGGCAACTCTCTGCTCAATCTGGGCACAGACCCAACTGCCCTGTGGGTTTTCTAAGTGCATCCCTATTGAAGTGTTCTTCAGAGGGACAGGGGTTTGCACTGTCCTCTGTGTGACACAGACGTGGCCTCTTCTCACTGCGGCTACTAAACCAGAAGTATAGCTGAGCAACAAACCAGCGTTTCCTCAGCATCAGGCAGCCATGCAGGGCTATGTTTTTCCTTTCTTCGTTCCTTTCTCCCTTCCTTTGTTTCCTCCCTCCCTCCCTCCCTCCCTCCCTCCCTCCCTCCCTTCCTTCCTTCCTTCTTTCTTATTTTGAGACAAGTTTTCACCATGTAGCCTGGATGGCCTGAAACTCACTATGTAAAGCAAGTTGGCCCCCAATTTACAGACATCCCAAATGCTGGTGTTGAAGGTGTGCACCACTTCCTACACCAGTGATGTTCTTACAGTATTTTCGAGAAGTTATTTGTCTAGTGTCTCTGAACTTTTCTGCAACCTCATCAACTATGCTGCTGATTCACTGGAACTTCATCTTGTTTTCTGGCTTATTTTTTTCCCCCTTGAACCTGCCAGGTGCCTCACTGTTTCCTGCTGTCTGAGCTGAGATCCTGAGACCGATCCTCCAATGCCTTCCCTGTTTTCACCTGGCATAGCTTTTCCTTTTTGTACCTCTACCCTAGGAATTCGTCTCTTTGCTTTCTCATGACATCCTGGCAGATGGTACAACCCATATGCTTCCCCTGACACACACACACACACACACACACACACACACACACACACACACACACACTGGCCTTGTCTCACCTGTGACATTTACAGCAAGAACCTGTTTCACTTACCCTGTTTGTCACGTTCCAAACCCAGTTTTCACGGGATAGTCTTTACCAACAAATTGGATCCAGTGCTTATCCCATGGCAAATCATCTGAGCTGCCAGTTCCATGTTTCTAGGAAATTAAAAAAAAAATGTTCACATTTTTAGGTAAGTGGAGGCATTGTGTGTGTCCACTAATGTAAGATGGGCTGGCTGAGATCAACTAGTAGCTTAGGAAGCTGCTCTCTCGTGACTCACTGGACACCCATTCAAAGGCTTCCTCTATCAAAAGCAGGAGTTGAATAGTTAATTACATTTTATAATAAGAACTGTAGAGGAGTCAGGCCTTCTTACACAGCAAACGAGGGAGAATGGAGAGAGGCGTTGATTTCCGCTTCCCATTCCTCTTACAGAGGGCATGATGCACAAGCAAAGATTTTACTATTGTTATTATAATTAGCTTAGCTTTCTTACCTCTACTTTGTATGGTAAAAATTTTCAGACCCACAGAAGCATTTCTAAAAACACCCTAGAGGGACTCAGCATTAAATGTTAACTGTTTTCCATCTCTCTGCCTGTGTTTCCCTTCATGATATTGTTGAGGTTCGTCATGTTAGAAGACACATCAGGACTTCTTTTGTTCCCGTCCATCGGTGCTACATGAGGTAAACCCTGCTCAGGCTGTTCTTCCTGGCCACCAGCTAGAGCCTGCTTTTTCTAAGCATCCCTGAACATGTTTCTTTGGCTACATTGAGGCAATCATCTTGCCTGACATATAGTTCACATCCAATTTGTTCCTCAAGTATCTTTCACAGCTTTCTCTAAAATAAAAACAAAAGAAAATAAAAATCCCAGATTAAATATAGGATCATTTGTTACATTTTACTTCCTGTCTGGTCCTTTGAACTGAGAAAATCCTGTTTAAAAAAATATAACTTCTGAGACTGGAGAGACAGCTCAGCAGCTAAGAGCACTTGCTGCGTTGTGGAGGACCTGGGTTCGATTTCCAGTACCCTATGACGAGTCACAACTAGCCATAATTCCAGTTCCACGGCACCCGAAACCCTCTCTGACTTCTGTAGACATTGTGTGCATGTAGAGCACATACATACATGCAGGAAGCACACACATAACATATAAGCAAATATAAAAGAAAAAACGCCCAAGGCAATTTAAGGAAAGATCTGGCAGTTGGCCACACTGCGCATGCACCTTCCAGTTAAGCATTGTTGGGACTTCCACTTCGTGTTGAAGGTGAAAGTCTGACTGATGGTCATCGGGGACTGCTTTCCTGTCAGAAATGATTTCAAGTAACAGACTGCCAATCATCTCCGATTCAAGGTTTTATACGGAACCTGTTCAAGGATTTTATATGGAAACTGCTTTTCCTCTGAGCCAGTGGGTCTGGTTTGAGAATAATTCTAACAGTAGGGGATATGTGGTCATGCCTGCAGCTATCTTCAGCTCCCCATGTAGGAGAATTGTTACTGGACTCTTCTTGGCAGAGGCCAAATATGGCCTATACTATAATATAGAGGACTGCTGCCCACCAAGATCTGAGTGGCCCCAAATATCGACAGTGCTGAGGTTAAATAATTCTCTACATGCACAGACTAGATCACTCTGTTTCTATCTGGAGTGCAGTGGAGGGTTGGTAAGGGACCGTAACCATCACATGCAGCCATGGTGTCACCTTCAATGGCATGCAGCATATGCAAAGGTCAAGAGCAAAACATTGCCATCAGAATTCACAGAAGAACTGGATCAATAAAGACTTACAAGGGCTTTGATATTTTTCTGCTCAAGGGAACACCAATACCTGGACTCTTTTTACATGACCTCCCTTTGGGGTCTAGATGAAGAGGAGTAGTCCTCCCCAAATGGTTTTACCCTCTTCTTTCCTGGCAAAGGCTTTGTTTCTTTTACTTGGAGAGATGGGTAACAGTCCTCACCTGGGGTTTACAGAACTCTGACTCCGTTCTTCAAGAGCTGCCGCCCCATGCCCAGCACTCTTCTTCTGCCGCCAGGCTGTCGCTATAGCCAGAGAGCAAGTGAGGTCACACAGGCTGGGGTGGCAGAGACTACGCCAGCCTTTTGACCTTGGCCCGGCTCCCTTCTTGCATTCAGTTCCCTCTCCCGTGGTGTCATTGTGGGCCTCCCCCTGAACAAATGCCTACTTGTTCTTTCTCAGAGCTGACAGGGTGTCAGAGGCCCAGACTGAGCCCTGTTTGCATTCCTGGGGCTCCTGGCATGGCCTCAGGATTCCTGCAGCTGCAGGCTGAATGAGGCCATTGGACGCTAAGCTGTGGCCTTAAGTGGAGTTGGATGGCACGGGATCCTCTCAGTTAGCAGCACTGTCATATTTTCAAGCAGATTCATGCTCACGCTCTTTTTTGGGGTCGGGACGGGGAGGCAGGAATCATTTGCCTGTGCGAGCTTCCACTTTCAGCTATTTTGTTAGCTGAGCCGCGGGGATCTGGGTTCTGCTCCCACAGCACTGGGCTTAGCATTCTGTGCTCAGTAAATAGTATTCAATCCACACAATAGATGTCAAAGTGCTGAAACCAAGGCTTATAGACTGGGTCGGTATGGCAGAAGAAGGAAAAATCTTTTTCCTTCTACCCTCTTGGAGTGTCCTGCAGAGGCTCTGTGGATTAGACACATGACAAATTAACAAGAAAACAAACAAACAAACCAAAGTTTACTAACACGAGCTTTGCAGATACCCACGGGAGTGCTAGTAATCCATTTATCCTGCTGGAACGGATGTGGCATACCATCACACACAGAACAGTTCACGTGTAAGGATCAGGATGAAGAGAAGGACTCTCAGTTTCTAGGGACAGCAACTTATCAGATGGCAAATGGGTCAGGAAAGCAGAGGGGTGGGTTTTTGTTTTGTTTTGGTAAAGTTTGGTATGCAAATCCCTGTAGGTCCATCTATGTGTGATCTCAAAGGGTCTAGAGTTGTCCTCACTGATTAACTTATTCCTGGTGGAGAATGGAAGGTAGGCATCTTTCCACATGTGTGCCCTGACTTTAGACAGCGAGCTTTGCCCGCATCTCTTTCTCAGCTGATTTCAGCTCAAAGTAACCATCACGGCAAAGTGGCACATTTGAGTGGTCAGCATCTTCTGCCTCCCTTGATCACTCTGCTTCTTCGTTTTCCCGCACCAACCCTCTGCTTTCATCTTCAGTTTAAGAAGCTGTCTTCCCTGAAAGGAGCCGTTTTCCCTTAAATAGGCAATAGATGTTCCTTTACAAGCAACCCCCGGGAATACCGTCCCCAGATCCCTGAGCAGGTAGCTGTGTGGCCAACAAATTTCTAAATGCAAAATACTACACTCAACTATAACAGAAGACCCAAAGCTCCAAGCCTCTACAGTCTTCCACAACCAGCTCTTATAATCTCCCAGGCCCCAAACAAATTTTCCTCCTAACCCTGTGCTCCCTGCTGACCGAATCCCTTTCCATTTGTTCAGTGAACCCACTTCGTTCCTCTTGCCACCGTGCCTTGATACATCCTAGTTCCCGTGATTCTCAGCCTGCCTTTCTTTGCGGTCCCAATTCCTATGCAGGCTGCACATCAGGTCAGTCACTCCCCAAATGTGCTACCCACAGAACCACCTAGAGTTGCTTTATACATCCTGTTCCATTTCAACAAAAATCTTTGGGAAGAGAATCCAAACACAATGAGTTCTTAACCCTTCTCAATCAACCCTAATGTGCAGCAAGTCCCAGTGCCCATGGTTTCAAAGGGTGTTTTGCCACTGTTGATGTGCACAGATGTGGTCTGGTGCTCTTGAGGCAGCTTCTGCCTCTCTAACAAACTTCAGGATGAGGCTCAAGTGATGTTGCCACTCTTCAGCCCTTGCTCTGAGTGGCAAACCGGGATGCTTCAGCTCCTCGGAGACCTTGGTTCTTTTCCCAGGCTAGTGTCCTTGGTGTTTACCATCTGAAGACTTGTTAGAAATGCATAGTCTCAGGTTGCACCTATTCAGATACTCTGGGTCCACAGGGTTTGTTTTAAAGACATCCTGCAGCTGGTCTCATGTGTATTCACATCTGAGAACAGCTGTTCTAGGCAGTGGCCCTGACAACCACACTGACTGTTTTAACTTAGGATCTTCATGATGGAGCATCCTTCCAATGACTAAGATGGGAACGAATAATTTGTTACCAAATCCTGGGGTCACACATGAACGCCACACATGGTGATCAGAGTAAGAAAGGTAGAGCCATCAGCCAATGTCTTTGTTGGGTCTCAGGCATTACCCAAGCAGGTTTCTCTGAGGGAGTTTTAGTCAATGGGCTTAAAGCAAGCAGGGCAAGACTTCCAGCGTCATTCTGTGACTAAGTGGGAAGCATTGTGGTCACTAGACCACATCTGAGCAGTCCATGCAGCGTCTGAGGCTCAGGCAAGTAGGCTGCTTACAGGTAGCTGTACTGTGGGAAGATGGTCAGCAGAAGGCAGCTATGCAAGGCGGGAATCTGGATTGGACACACTGCTGGATGGGAGGAGATGCAGAACAGGAAACTGTGTTTGCAGGGAGTGAACTTGCTTCTGGAACGAGAGAGTGCAGCAGAGAGACAACACCGAATTCTAGCCCACTATATTCTGAGACCGAGGCTTTCTTCCTTTCTCACTCCATCCTCTGTTCTGCAGAGGATCTGGTGTTTCTCCTACCAAGAAGGACATCTGTCTACTTAAATGGCCTACACACCCCACCCTGGAGGAGGAGGTCTGTGATGGGTGGTCCTCTTGGATCCCCACCACCCGGCACAGCAGCAACATGTATGCACTCTGTAAAGCTTTGTTGGATGTATTGAAGAAGGGCAGATGGCTTGACTCTACCTTTTGGGTCAGTCTGGATCATTTCTTCTCTGGCTAGCACAAAGAAGGGAGAAGAGAGAAATAACAGGGCTATAAAATACCGCCAAGGTTATGTGGTACCCGATCGCTGTCCTTTCGAGTGTCTGTTTTGTAATACAATCCGATAAAGGGAAGGCTATTCTCACTGTTCTGCACACCCAGCTAGGAGCAGATTCCAGGGAGTTGTCTGGCAGATTCACTGGCTGGTGTGATTCTGGAAGAAGACGTAAAATTGCTTCTGATCCACTGGAGAAGACAATGGGCCGTGGTGGTTCTCCACTCTGACTCACAGAATTTCAGTTGAATACTGATGCCAATGAGGACGTTGCCAACAAGGGATGCTCGCCCAGCAGACTTAGCTGTTTTTCCTGGTGCTGTGACAAAATACCCTGACAGAGGCAACTTAAGGGAGAAGAAGTTTGACTCACGGTTCTAGGGCGTAGTCCGTTATCGTGAGGAAGTCACGGCAGCAGCCTTTGAGGTGGCTCATCACATTGCATTCCCAGTGGGGAAACAGAAGGATGAATGTTTATGTTCAGACAGCTTTCTCTTTTGACTCAGTCCGGAAGCTCAGCCTACTGATGGGTGCTGACCAGTGGGTTCAGGGTGGGGTTTCCCCACTTCAACTAGCCTAATCTAGATGATCTACCAGAGGCATGTGCTGTGGTATGGTCTGTATGTCAAATTGCTCTGATTGGTCAATAAATAAAACACTGATTGGCCGGTGGCCAGGCAGGAAGTAGGTGGGACAAGGAGAGAGGAGA